TGGAAGACAGCCACTTTAAGAATGGAGTGAAGATATTAATAACTGATGCATTGAGAGGAGAACAAGAGAAAATAGAGAGGAGAAATGTGCAGTGATGTAGCAAAACTGCCTTGGCAGCTTGCATTACCCAACAAGACCTCTTAGAGAATGAAAGATGCCATGAACATTTTTGTGGTAGTATCTGGCATGTCTAAGTGGCTGGCTGGAGGGAAGGCAGCTTGGGCTGGGCAGTCTTCAAAGTCAGGCTCGTGTTTTTCTCTACCATACACTTACTGGGTGACTGAGGGCACCTTGGGCCTGTCCAAGTCAGATTCCTTATTTGCCAGCTGGAAATAATAAATCATTTTTTTACAGGATCTTTGAAAATGAGGTCATGTAAATATCTGCTGCATAAGTATTAGATAAATGTCATCTTCTATTACTGCAAACATTACTTACTAAGATATCATTTTTTAAAATCTTCTTGTCCACACAATACAATATTATTCAGTGTTAAAAAAGAAATGGGCTGTAAAGCCATGAAGAGACACAGAAGTGCAGATTACTCAGTGAAAGAAGCCAATCGGAAAAGGTTTCCACACTGTAGATTCCAACTGCATGATGTTCTGGAAAAGACAAAACTATGGAAATAATAAAGACATCGGTGGTTGCCAGTGGTTAGTGGGGAGGAACAGGCAGAAAACAGAAATTTTAGGGAAGTGGAACTATTCTGTATGACATTATCTTGGGGAATACAGGGCCTTAGGACCAAACCTACAGAACCCATGACACCAACGGCAAACACTAATATGAACTATCATTTGGGGATGATCATGATTCACCAATAAAGGCTTAGCAAATCTAATGAAGGCTCCAATCTAGTAGGTAGGGAAGTGTGAATGGTCGTGGTAGGACAGGAATATGAGAACATTTTGTACTTTCAATTTTATTGTGAGCCTAACTCATCTAAAAAACAATGTCTATTTTTGGTTTTTGTTCTTATTTTCTTCTTTCTTTTTTTTTGGTTTTTTGAGACAGGGTATCACTATGTAGCTCAGGCTGGCTTTGAATTCACTATGTAGCCCAGGTTGGCCTTGAACTCACAGTGATCCTTCCCCCTCATCCTCTCAAGTGCTGGGATTAGGCAGGCACCTCAACACCAGGCGTATATTTTTACAAACCTCTTGGAAGAGAAGCAAACAGGCCCTAAAATCAAGCTTTATAATTGGAGAAAATGTATATGAAGGGATGCTCAAGAGACACAAGGAAAGATTATTCTCAAATGCCTGCATTGTCAATAGGATGACTATCTCTATTCAGGTGGATGTGCATGCGTGTATACAGGCCAGCGTTTCTTCCTGTGATCTTTGGAAGTTTGCAATTAGCTGTGGTCCATTAGCTGAGGCATCAGGGCTTTGTCACCTCTGGGGTCTGCCAGCCCAGTTTTCCTCCTTGGGTCCTCCACACCAGCTTGAGTACCTCATGCTTCCATTTGCCAAGCACATGATCCAACAGACAGGAATTCCAAGCCAAGTCGTAATGCCACTAGGCAGGCTGCACAAGGCCTCTACTGTCTCCTGGATGCATCCTTGGGCCCAGGACAGGCTGCTGCATCCGGTACATTTCTCTTCTATGAAGCCCATACAGAACCAGGTGATCTTGGTCTTTGCAATGTGGGGTGGGCATTCTTCATTCTTTTATCAGTGCCTATCCACCCTCGCCTGAGTCAGCCACCCATCACTGGATTCTGAGGCCAATCCTTCATGCTTCTACTTCTCAACTGTCCCTTCTGCCTTGGTTGCTACATTTTTTTTCTTTTCTAACATATGTTATTCTACCTAATAATACATGGTATTTTATTTTATTTTATTTTTATTTTGAATTTTAAGTGAAAACTGATATTCACAGACAACCATCCACAAAGGGGCTTCCGGGCACTCACATAAAACAGAAAGCCTTCTCATCTTATGATTAACTAGAAAAAGTGTGGTATCTTACAGTGTAGAACCCTGATCTTAGGGCTTATCCTAAAGTTTGTGTTTAAATTACTGAATGCATGACCCAAGATGGGTCTCACGCCCTGGTCTAGTGCTACCATTACTATAATGGCCCACATATTCTTCCCCTTAATATGGACACTGTCGTCACCCAATACATATGTTGAGAAATTAATTGGGTAAATATTTTAATTACAATATGACACCGATTCAATTTCTACAATGGAAAAGAATATCCAAGTAAACTGAAAACTTTGAAAACGACAACACCAAAGGTCCATACAAATGACTACAAAATAAAATTTTTGATCATCCCTTCCATACACTTCAATTCTTTGAAAAATATCTGGGATTCCTTGGGGACATCACTACAGCACTCAGTCAATAAAGTCACATTCTTCTAAACACCTAATGACTGGGACCACAAGAACACTTCCCCTGGCTGGAAATGCAGTTTTGAAATGGTTCTTTTGCTCTGTGAGGCACATTCTGGATATTGCCAAGATTGCGATGTGGTTTCACTGTTACCTGGTGGATGAAAAATCCTAGCTCCAGTACCACTTCTTCCAAGAAGCCACTTTCAAGAGACCATTTCGTGGGAACTCATGTGGTAGTTTGTCTCCAGACATTCACCCTATTTAGTTCATATTTATCCCTGTCTCAACATTGTAAACCCTTTGGGTATAGAAACTGCCTCCATGTTCCCTTGATCCTTCCCAGGATCTCTTGATCCAAGTCCAGCCTGTCTCACAGCAAGCCTTCAGCCAGTGTCATCATAAGAAACAGAACTGTCACAGGCACACAACGAACAGGAAGTAAACCTTTCTCTGAAGCTCACCTCTATGTTTGGGGAAAATGACACAATCTTCCCAAGGCCCTCTCTTCTATCAGGACGGGATTAATCTCAGGAGATGGGATGGAGTTTGGAATAAGTACAACCATCACATACATACCATCACCACAACAAATAGGCAAAAACTAGTTAGTGAAGTACCTTGCTGAACAGCAGATAAAAACAGGGCATAGCAAAAATACTTGTTGCACTGAAGAATTATTTGATGAATTATTTCTACAGTCCATTTCAAGTTTCCTAAAAGATCACTTAGTGATTGTCCACATTTCCCAAAGGGAGTTGGGGAAGGGAGTTGGAATCTCTTTCAAAGCAATAAAAGGAAGGGAGGCGGCTTTCAATTCTTCATTAAATCGGTTAAAAGTACACAACTTCATCCTTTCATAGCTATTAGTCATAGCCAGGCTTTGAGGGCAGGGTAAAACTTACTTGTCTGGAGGAAAAGAACGGGGAGAAAAACAAAGCAGAATAAAATAAAATTTAATAAAAATTTTTTTCCCTTTTGAAGAGGGAGGAACTTCAAAATCATGATGGGCCAAATGCCTCCCGTCTTTCTTGAAAAACCCTCCCAGTCAGAAGCAAGCCCAAGAATAACAGCGGCTTTCAGGATGCTCAAAGCTTCTTGCAGCTGATTATTTTTCAGGAGGAGAATTAGACAAAAATAATACAAGTGGGAAATAAAGCGAATGACCTACTTTACAGGGGGGAAAAGGAGTTCATTGCCAGCGTTTTGATCTAATGATGTTGTGGGGCTGCAAGCCCAAATAAGGCATGGCTGGGCTAGGGCAGGGACCAGCCAGGCCCTGGGACTACTTGGGGAGCCACCCTCAGTCTCCGCTGGGGCAACAGGCCTTAGGAGACCCATTCGGGCCACAAAATAGGGTATGAGAAGGGTGGGGAACATGGTGGGGGGGCTTTCCTTTCCAAAGCCACTTGCTGGAAGGCGCTAGCTACACACGGTAGTGTGAAAAGGGCTGGGAGGCAAAGTGCGCGCCAGGAAATGCACCTAAGCGGTGTCAGCCAAGGGGTGACCTTCCTGGGTGGGGGCGGGGACGTCTCCTAACCTGTGCCACCCGCTGGAGCCAGGGTGGAAGGGCCTGCGGGTTTGGAGGACCCGGGCCTCAGTGGGCGCACAGTCTCCCCTTTTCTTCACCTCCCTGAGTCTCGGAGCCCCGCCAAGCAACCCTCAGCAGCTGCTGGCTCCTGGAGTCCATGGACGCGCATCTGTCTGCGCTCGCGTTCGCAAGCTCGTGCTAAAACCTCCCTGTTTTCTCGCGCGCGCCTGTCTCCAGCTTCTTTTACTTGGATTCTCGCCTGTCTCCTCCCACAGAGGGGGGAAAAAAAAAAGGTCACGTATGTTTGGAAAAATATGTAGGTCAGTGGAACATTTCCTGCACTGGTGCAAGGGAGAGGAGGGCGGCGGGGGAGGGGCGGGAAGCCGAGTCCAGCTCCGCGCGCGCGCGCGCGCGCGCCTCAGTCCCGCGCCCTGGCTCACCGGGGCCGAGGGGTGACCAGCCGGTCCTTTTCCATTCTTGACCCGTTTCCCAGACCTGCTACTCCGCCGCCTAGGAAGAGGCACTGCTGATTCCTCCCGAGGCGAACAGTGCTCACCTTAGTATCTGATCCCCGACCCCCCCACCCCGCCGCCCCAAGAGAAATCTAGTGGTGCCCACAGAGACGCGCCCTGTGCCCTGGGTCTGGGCCTCGCGCGTTGTAGACAGAGTCGAGATCTGCGTGGAAGGGGCGACGGTTGCTTGCTCGTCCCCCTCCCCACGCGCGGGACAGAAGATCCCGTGCCAGCCCCGAATGACAACTTTCTCGGGACGTGGGCTGGCAGCCCCCCATCGCGCCCCCGCCCCGTCTCGGCCGGTTCACCTCGAAGCACACCCCCCCCACCCCCACCCCCGTGCCCTAACCCCCACCCCCGTCCAGAGCCCCGAGTCCCTCGCCGGCGGCCCTGGGGTGCACTGGGTTTGCGCCGCAGGGGGTCCCGGGGTTAGCGTGCGTGTGGCCCGCGGGGCGTATCCCACGCCGGGTCCCGGCCCGCGCAGACCCCCAGCGGCGGCGCAGGAGAGGAGGAGGAGGGGGGGAGGGGGGGAGGAGGAAGAGGAGGAGGAAAGAGGAGGCAGGGCCGGGAGGAGGCGGCGGCGGCGGCCGTCCCCGCGGCGCTGCGTGCGGAAGAGTTTGCCGCGAGCAGCCGGCCTCGCGCAGCACCGTGACCCGCGCGGGGCCGCGGAGGGAGCTCGAGACCGCGGCGTCCCGCGACACAGCGCCTCCCGCCGCCGCCCGGAGGAGCTCGCGCCCACTCGCCTCCCCGCTCGGCCCGGCTCCCAGCGGCGGCGGGAGGCGCGACGCCCGGCCCGGCTCTGCCCGCCTGGCCCGCTCCGAGGTAAGGGGCTGCCCTCCCCGCGGGGCCGGGACAGGGGTCCTTGCGCGCGGGGCACATGGGGTGCGTGACTCCATCTGCTCGCGGCCCGGGAGGGGCTCGAGGTCGCGCGGCGCGGGGAAACCAGGCGCGGGGAGGTGGGTCTCCTCCGTCCCTCCCTCCGCGCGCCTCAGGCCGCCCGGGCAGCGCGTCTCCCCGGACCGACCCCACCAGCAGCCCGCCGGTGGGCTCCAGGCGCGTCTTGACTCAGGACTCATAAGACCAGACACCCCCAACCTCGGAACTTGGGGGTCCTAAAGGTTAGCATCGGGGTAGACAAGGGCCAGGTCCCGGGGCAGCAGTTTTGGAGATGGTCGTTTACCCCCGTTGAGCCCCATCGCGCGAACCTCTAAGCCCTGGGAGCACCCGGGACCTCCGGAGAGCGCAGCGCCAGTGGCTCGGGCCCGCGGAGTCTCAGGATCCTCGGGCCGGAACTGGTTTCGGGCCGGACTGGGTGTTGACTGGGTGTTGGGTCCTGTGTGCTTAGAGAGCGCGTCGCCAGGCAGCCCGGGCCGGGCTCCCCAGGTTAGATGCCAGCGTGTCGCTTTGTTGGGAGGTGTGTCCCCTCCCTTGGCCCAGGAAAGGCGCACTTTGACCTTTCAAAAGAGCCACCCTGGGTTGGGGTCCGAATCAGGAGGAAGGGACAGGTACTAAGGGGCTCACTTCAAGATCAGCCTCGCTTCTCTGCCTGCTACTCCTTAACTGGTCAAGGTAAGAAAGTTTGTTTTCAGCCCTGTGATTCATAAATAATTAGTAACCAGTTTTGTCGTTAAGCAAGATGGAATCCTTAAATACACACAATGCACTTGCACAAAGTCTGGAAGGTACGGAGGTTCTCCCCCAGGGTGGGGGTGGGGGTTGGTTCTGAAAGTTAAAAGCCCTGGCGTTCAACAGGTGCTCAGGCAGGGGCGCTGAAGGCGAGAGTTCTGCTGTTTCCTTACCCCCGGCTTGGTACTCCCCCCCCCCCCATCACAGTGGTTGTTACCCTGTTTCTTTACAGGTGAAGTATTGAGTAGTTATTAAATTAACTTAATCAGCAGAGACAAGCTGGTCAGTCTTGATCGTTAGAACCCAAACCTTCTTTTCCATAATAGAAAGGCTTTTCTTGGTTGGACTTCTCAAGTAATTAGTTCTGAAACAGCTCCTGGCAAGGCTCAGTTCTGTCAACACCTCTGTCTCCTGAAGTCCCAATTCCCCATCCCGTAAATTGACTGACTAATTGTGGCTTGCCTCAAAAACAGAGGGGCGTCCTTGGAAAGCACCCACTGAATCCAAGGACACGTTCTAGCTATATCTTTCTGCTAGTCGGATTTCCTTAGAGGAAAACGTTTGCCAAATATAACCCCAAAATTTATTTTTAAAATAAAAAATACTGTTTAAAAAGAGTTATTCAGACCCGGGCCGCTAATTTACAAAGCAAAAGTTCAGTGTTTCATTACAGCTAAACCAGAACCAGTAGCAGTATTGGTATTTCTCAGCAGTCTACTTAAAGATTTAATTAAAAATAAAGTGTGCAACATAAAGACATTTAGTAATTATCTTCCATCTCACAGAGAGACATGGAGGGTGGCTTAGAAGAATTGTAAATGCGCTGCTTTTAGCCATTTTCTTCTTAGAAATCGATGCCTCTATTTATTTGCTGGTCTGTCCCACTGTGCATAAATGTAGAATTGGTTTATTCTCGCTACTCCCCGGTGCGGCTCCTGTGGAGAGGAGGGAAGGGAATATACTCTAGAGGAAATATGTTATTAATAAAATGTCCCCCCAAGAGTTAACCATGCCAAGAAAAGAACCAAATGAGACTTTACTAATTAGTGTGGTGAAAAAAAACTCCTCCTGTGATACACAGTGTTCAGATGGTAACTAAAGAATTGATCTTTATATAGAAAATAATTGTTTTTAAGCTCATTTGGTTCTTTTAAGAGAATTTGGACTCTATATTTCTGGCAGTTTAATAATGAAAATGATAAAAAATAATGAAAATGGTAAAGAAATAGCACACATCACTTGATGTGTCATTCTTAATTTGAATCCATCTTATATTTTTGTACAATCTTTTTTAACTCTTGGTAATCTTTATAGCTCTCTCCTAATACTGCTGCTTATTGTTAGGTGAAAGATTCAAAATTATTGAATTTCTGCAGATTAAAATAATGTATGCATATACTTACAGCTCCATCTTCGTATGTGTTTATGTTTTCAGTATTGCTTGTGAAGTTTAAGAACCCAAAGTGATATGTCATCTTTCTTAATTTTTGAGACAAGTGTGTGTTTTGCTCTTGATGCGAGTGGCTGCTTTCTGAATGTGATCTCCACACTGATACCATGCACACTTGCACCCTCTCTCTCCCAAGACAGATCAGATTGAGAGCTGTTGAAAATAGTGGAGTGATTCAGTATTCTTGGTTGCTTTACACCAATAGTTTAATGGCTGCATCATAGCAAGCATCTAATTGAGCTCCCACTTAAATAGTGGAAATGGTATTTGATGTATTATTTGTTTCCAGAAATGTTTGATTAGCATATTCCTGATCCTCATTTTGTTTGTACCAAAGTTGGGAGGTCAGGGACTGTCATATTCAGATCTTATCTCTTCATCTCATCCCTTTGTGGCTTAGTTCATCATAGATGCTCAATAAATAGGTGTGGGAAGTGAGCTGAATCGGTAATCACTATCCAAAGGTGAGACATTTCTGAATGCTAATGGGGTACTTAAGGATGAGTAATTCTATTTTAAATCTGACGATGATTAATAGTACCTCAGAGCACTAAGTACACATTTATTAAATGGGAGCATATGTTTAAAAGGGGGAATTTTCATGTAGTCTTTAGCTAAGGCACTAGTGTTTCTCACTTGAATTCTTTGAGATGAGAAACAACTTGGTATTTTTAAGCAAAGTCCTTTCTTAGGCAGAGTTCCCTTAGAGACCACCTGAACTGCTGGTCTTAACATGTTCTTTTTGATGCAGAATAGAAAGGAGAAAGCTTATCTCCTACACTGGCAGGAACTAAGCATGTGTAAAGAGGTAGAGCATGGGTGGGGGCATTGGAGTGTGTGGGGTGATTCACCTGGGGCCCTTGTTAAACAGAAATTCTAATTCTGGACATCTGGGCTGGGATCTGGGCTTCTGCATTTTTGACAAGCTCCTGGATGCCCTGCACCAGCAAGGTTATGGGGCACACTTACTGTGATTCAGTACACATTTACTGAGCATGTACTGAGAGATAGACCAGATAATCCACAATGCAGGAGATGGGTCATACCCTGAAAGCTGGGCAGGTCTGAAATGGAGAGACTTGATTCTTTCTACATGGCAAATGAGGTCTTACGGTGCCACTCTGCAGAGTGGTGGCAGAAGAGGGAAAGAGGATTTTCTGGGAGAGCGTCCACACTGCTGACCTTGACCTGGAGTTGTGTTTAGATGGAGACTTTTGTGACTTGGCAAGAAATAAAATGCAGATTTGAAAATCAGACTGACTTGAGGTAGCTTCATTGCTCAGCTTCTGGGTGATTTGAAGTGATGTTTTAACTTTTCTGAACCTAAGCATCCTTGCCAGAAAAATAGGGCAAATAAAGCTCAGCCTTCACCAAGTTTCTAGGATTACAAGTAGAGGACATGGATTAGGCCTAGCAAAAATAATTGCCAGTCTGATTGTTGCCTGAGGGGGGGGGGCTAGGATGAGGCCTTTCCATGTAGTTCACCAGCTAGAGATTCTGTTTGGTTAACCCATAAACCCAAGACAAATGGTTGAGAACCAGGCTGGGTAGGGCTGGGGAAAGGGAATGTGGAAGTTGATCAGATGCACAGTGGAAGGACTGGGAACATGCTTGTCTCTATCCTTCTCCTGCAGTCCCCTGGCTAGCTTTGTTGCTAACACTTCTGGAAGTATTGTCACCTGAGGCTGTACCCACTACTTAACCTGTAGGTCCTGTGGTTCTGTGCATGGAGATGAGTGTTTCTGGTCATTAGCTATTCCTTAAACATACAGTGCAGAGGGAAGGCCAAGGGCCTGTCCTCTTTGAAAGGCACTGAGATTCCCTGGCAGGGCCCCTTTAAGGATTAAAGCTACCTATTAGTCCTTTTCACCTGAGTACAAATTACCTGACATTAGTGTACATTTTCCACTCTGTACTCAGATAACTGCTTCCTCCTGACATCTAGGGAAGATAGATGTGCCAGGGCACTTGTCTCTTTCCAATCTCAGGAGAGATACTCTGGGTGGCACTAAAGATACTTCAACATCAATTGTCTTCCCTTTTTATGAGTTCCACTTATTATTTGCAGTGGAGATTTTTTGCTACTAATCCTCCTCTAAGTCCTCTAAAGATAAGCCTTAAAAACCAAATTCTAAGAGGGTGGTAATGACAGCTTGATGTTTGAGGAGAAGAAAAAATAGAGGAGCAACAGGAGACAGAGAGGAAACAAGAGCAAGAAGAATAGAAATTGGAGGAGAGGGGGCCATAGATGGGAATGGGTCCAAGGTCCCACCCTGGTGGTCTTTGCTGCCTTGCTGTAGGCTGTTTCAGTGTACCCACGGTACTGAAAATCGTCCAGGCTTCCAGAAGTCACAAGCCCATCTAAAGGCAGGCACAGAGCCAAGCAGTGTGATTCTACCAGCCTCTTCAGAACCAAAACTACACCCTACAATTTCACAAAAAATATTTGTACCCCTTGATGAGTGAACTATTAAAAGCTGGACATCATTTTAAAACTTATTATTTTTCTCTGTGTAAAAGCCCATGACATAGTTTTAGGAAAAGATAGAAAAGAATGAAGAAAACGAACACTGCCCAAATTTCAAGGTATATTTCTTTTCAGTCTCTTTTCTAAGCATTAAAACACTTACATATATGTGTGTGTGTGTGTACATATATGTGTATATATATATACACATATATATTTATATATATATGTGTGTATATATATACACACACATATATATATACACACACATATATATTT